TCGCAAAATAGCAGAAAATAGTTCATGATTCAATGTGTTGATGATACAAGCCAAAGTTGGATAAACTGCTTGCTTAGAGGAAAGGAGGATCTTCAGAAGGAGACTTATATCAACTGTTATAATATAATGAACGATCATTTGTTGAAACATAGTAAGGAGTAAGATAACTGTGCAGAAATTCATATCCGACTTACGTGATGGAGTCTATACAATCTTGCAATCCGCAAGGAATATTAATTTTAGTTCTGGCAGAAACAGATTAAAATTTCAATAGACAGGCTGAATTCGGGGTCTTCATGAACCCAAGAGTGTCATTGGGACTGATCTGAAAATGCATTTAGGAGGCAATAAAATACCCCTTCCGAGTGAGTTGTCACCTGTCCTACTAAATGACGATTTATTCTAAGGTGTATGTATCCGTGTCGAAAGGATGTGAAACTCTGAGCCCACTTAGAGTCGCTGGACGCCCTCTCGTCGTAGAAAGCTTTGTCAGGGTAATAAAAGACTCTGCCGTGACATATCTTGTTTCCCTTGCTATTCGTGGGTCTTTTTATGGATTGTGAAGTAATCAAAGAATTTTATTCTAAGTTCACAGAGGAGATGTAGGTCGACTAAACGACCCCAACTGTCCTTCCTGTAATATCAGATCGAGAGTTAGAGTCTCTCTGTTCTCCAACTTTTAATCCTGTTAACAAATGTATCGAGCTAGGTGGTGCAGCGAGAAAGATACATATTGCGTTCCCAAAAGCAGAATATCTTATAATGATGTCTCGAATAAAATTTTCGAGTAGTAGAAAATCTGCATCAGGAGAGGAAACAACTCCTCCTGAGCAGTTCAGAAAGCGTTAGGTACAGCTGTCTTATAAATACCCTAATATGGAAAGTTTAATGCGGTCAATAAGGAGCAACTCTTGCACCTTGAACATCCAACAATATCGATCAATCAACTGGAACCTCTTCAGTATCTTTAGATGGTGGTACTGGCTGAGATGGATGTCATCCTCGGAGTGGATTATGCTTCACCAGGACCGGATCAGGTCTTCAGCATTTGGCAGAGTCCCACTCTTGCCAGTTGACCTGAAAGATCACGCGCCAAATTAATTAATCAGCTTTGTTTAGAATCTGGATTTATTTGATCGTGTTTGAATAGATGAAAACCTAAGGACCATCAATTCAGTTTGTGGGCTTTGAACGAGCTGTGGAGTACCAACATCTTTGGTGCAGAAACAGATCATGATTTGAGTCAAAAATAAACTCGAAGAATACTAAGAAAAATGTNAAAAGAACATCTTCAAAAAACGCTTTCGTTGATCTTACACATGTTGTGGAAGATTGATTTTCATGCCGTTTTCTTTAACCTCTTTGAGAATTTCATCATATTTTGTTTTCAGCTCATCCCAGTTTACTTTCTGTCCTTGCTTACCAAGGTGTGCTCGAACCTGAGCCAATAGTGATTCATTTTCGAAATATTTTCTACAATCCTCTCTGGAAATCTCTTTAGCAGTACCTTCCACTCTCACCTGGAATCAAACAAGTGAAAATATTTTTCCAAAAAGAGATTTCATTAGAAAGAGCCGATAAGATATTTTTTCCAAAAGAAGTTGATTAGGGGACACCTGGATAATCACAATGAAAATTAAAATACAACCCTCATCAAAAAATGATGAAAACAGAAATAATTGAGTAAAACACGTCTCCCTACAGTGAACTAACCCATTTCTTTTCTTGATAATGGGGCTCAGTACTTCGGACTTCATACATTCAATAACATTAGGAGTTTTTAAAGAAAAAGAAGCACTACACTTTGAGGAAAATCTTTTTCAAATCCTTTTCATAGAGAAGGTCAAATTACATCTATAAAGCAAAAAGAAACGAACTGAAATATTACGAAACCTAACTTTAAATATTAAATTTTTTATCTAGAAATTTAAACAAGTTAGGGTTTGCAAGAGTTCATTATCATGTGTAAACTGTTTTCCATTTCTGATTTATACGAAAACTGCTTTGTCTTTGATTAAAAAAAAAAAGAAACCAACCTATACATCGATAATTATTGATAAATAACCTGCCAAAGCACCAGCAAATGTATTACTGGGGTTTTATCCCAACACTAAATCGTTATTTTCAACACCTCGACACGTGTTCCAACCAAGTGGTTATCTTCAAGAGGAGGAAAAACACTTGGTGATGAGTTTAATCTTCCTCTTGAAGATGGTCACTTGGTGATCGAAACGCTTGTCGAGGTGTTAAAAATAACGGTTTGGTGTAGGGATAAAACTCCAGTAATATTCATTACTACAACAAAGGTAAATGCAAAAGTAGCAAATACATAACTAATAGGTAGACAACCAATAGTACTCAATTGGTTGCGCTGTGGTTCAGCAGACTTTTCAAACTTACTTGACGATTTATGAAGTTTTCATCTTTTTTATAAAGCCATAGAAAACACGCAGCGACGTTGGGATTTTCAGCCTGAAATTATAAAATAGTCATACCCACATGAGAAGTTCTTGGAAATGGAACCTACTTACAATTTGATGACTTTTTTTATTATCCTTGTTTGAGATAAATATCAAATTGTTATCTTTGAAATCTCTCAAAACTACCGTTCTGTTTGAAACTCTGCCAGAGCTGTAAATTATGAAATTATTAAATATAATAAATTTATAACAAAATTCAAAATATAATATTTGTTACTATAATTGATTCCTCATTACAGTAATATATAATCCGGTATGGTCTAGTGGCTAGGATACCTGGCTTTCACCCAGGAGGCTCGGGTTCGATTCCCGGTACCGGAAGTTTTTTGTTTTTACTTACAGACTGGAAGTTGCTAGACTGAAAAGACTATTTTTGAATCCTCCACATGATTTAGCTTCCCCTAGCCAATCTTCAAATAGTTCAAATGGAGCACAACCTGCAGTGACGTCAATGTAAGCTAATGTTGAACAGTCCATATTTGGCAAAATTATGTGCCTGTGTAACAAAAACGGTTTGAGGTTTCTTATTAAATAGAAGCACATCCCACATTACTACCAGAAATAGTTTTGTCAATCACCACATAATGTAGACCAATTCTGAATTTTAATATTGAAAATAATTTATTAGGTAAGCGCTTGTTGATAAGAGAAATTGGAATGGTTTTGCACTCGTTTGCAATTTGTTTTTACATTCTCATTTCCAAGCATCAACAAGTGATAGAATGAAATGGAGTGATTAGAAGAACTTGTGTAAGAGTGAAATAAAAGATCACTTCGATTACGCATTCGACATTCCAAGATTTGCCACAAGAGGCAGATAAACACCTTTCTGAACATAGGCGGACTCGAATAAATGTAAGGGGGATTTCCTCAAAATAGTTTTTTTAAAGATCGTGGTTTCAAATTTGAAAAGCTTATTTCGCAAAGTTCTGCTTCCTCTTTTTGAAAATTTGATGACCTTTATATTGAAAATAGAAAACATAACATTTTTTCTATTTTTTNCTGTCGAAGATGATTAACATGGTCGAGATTCATGTCGGGACCTGCAAGAATTTATGCCGACCTGTAACATTTATTTTGAATATTTTGAAAATTGTAAACTTTTTGGGTAGGGGTTGGAAAAATTTTCTGTCGAAAATAATTTACCTGGTCGAGATTCATGTCTGGGAGATCCGACCTGCAAGAATTTCTGCCGACTCGCAAAATGTATTTTCAATTTTTGGAAAATTGTAAACTTTTTGGGTGGGAGTTGGATTTTTTTTGTCGAAAATAATAACCTGGTCGAATTTTTGCCTTTCTACAATATTACGTGAGCAATATTTACTGAGAACAACTTGCTGATCTGCCGACCTGCAAAACAGTTGCACCTCATGAATTTATTAAAGAAACACTATTGAAAGATTTATACTAAAACAGTTTTACAAAAACGCAACACGTGTTTCGATGTACAATATCTGGAATACGTTATGAATTTTCATCACACAGAGCATTAATGATATGAAAATGTAGTAATAAACTTTCTACCACCACAATAAAATGTGTTTTGCAAACAGAATCAGAAGTTAAACATTGCCCCCACTTCGACGCGACAACTATATTATAAACATTCAATAAACATTTGTATGGTTTCAAAAACAGACAAAACAGACAATCGAGGACTGAAAATTGGAAATAAAATAGTAGGGATAGGTAATATCCAACATGTAATGAAGGCTGATAATGAAAATAAAATTTGATCATAAAAATCATGCAGTTTAAATTTGTAAAATACGTTTTTTTGAAATTTACAGTTTTCTACAGCAATTATACAGTTTCACTCGAAGATGGGGTTGGCAACAATGTATTATAGGTTATGCCAAGCAGGCAAGCGTCAAGCGTCATTTAGGAAACAAAAATCCTGCTTGAAGTGAAGTGTTTATTGTGAACATTTCATATTTAAAGTTAAAACGGAAATGAAAGTTGATTTTGCATAAATCCACCTTAAATGCATTGAAAGCATCTCAAGAACATTTCTCCACAGCCACGTTTTCTGACTATTTACCGACATCCATTAAACAGGGAATCCGTAAATAAGCGATTACCGATAATGCGCCTATTTACCGATTGAGAGTACAGAGAGGCTCGCACTCGGAGAGGCGTCGTACAAACATGAAAGCATGCTACAAACCACGTGTCGATAACTTACCTACTTCTCCGTCTATCGGTTTTATGGCCCCAAAGGAACGACCCGAAAGCGAGGTTCCATCTTCGAGCACTAAAAAACAAGGGACACTGTCGACGCCGTCGCCCATTTCAGCAATAAGTGTAGAAAGTCGTATAGAGGCACAAGAAAAGCGATAACTGTGTTAACGTCGCCGGGCTGTGCAGTCACTACTCTTGTTGAATGGTGACTGAACGATTCAAACGATTGCTTGCTTTGTTATTGTGCCGTAAATGTATACCAGATAATCTCGTGTACAGTAAGTTAGGTTAGGATTTGAGAAGACCGGTTGGGGATTGAGGAGTTTACTAAATGAGAACTTGAATCTAAAACGGAAAGTTTTGGTAAACCTAACTTCGGCCCATTGGTTGTGTTCATTCAGATTAGTACCTACTTTACCCAATAAAGATAATAAAGATTCTCTGTATTTTTGGACCTTGAAAAGAGGTGTAACAGAAACAAATACTATAACGTAAAAACACAACTAACCGTTGTATACGTAATACGTATACAACGTATACAAAGAACAGGAAAATACAGAGATTGCCCTTCTAACTGAAATTGAGGATATTGAAGAAATATTATTTTTAACGAAACTGTCGTTTCTAGTTACAATAAATCAAAATCTGACAGTACAATGAAGCAAAAATCTAACTTCAAAACATATCAAAAATCAATATACAGAGTCGGACCAATTTCTGACAAATACTACACTGCAATTACAAAATACCTACTAGGTATGTAGTTTTTGATATATTATAATGAATAACGAATACCGCGAACCTATTTCATGTTAACAGCATTTCGTATCGTTATATAAAAGTTACCTGCCAGGGTCGGACTATATGAAAACGCAGAAGGGCGACAATTTCAACTAGTCAATATTTAAAATTTGAAGTCAAAATTTCAAGTTTTAAATTCTAAATTGCGAGATCAGATCGAATTTTGAACAAACATAAAATGAAAAGATATGTGATACTTTTACGCTTCTGTAGGATTATAACTGAACTGAATCGGTACAATGATGGAAATTTTACCAATATAAAAAATCGATCACGATCAGGTACTTCATTCTTTTATGTAGTAATTGAATTTTCGAAATGACAAATACTTCAAAACTATACCGTCATTAAGTAAACAATACCTAGTGGAAAAATGCACACACAAAAAAATATAAAGGAATTGTCTGAGAAATGAACTGAACTGAAGAACTTCTTCAACAGAGGAATCCTGTGAATGATATCTGATTCAATTCCATAACGAATGTTTGGAACACAAAAGTGTTTTTTGTATAATTCAGTGTTCATACAAGTATTTGTTTCGAAAGAATTTTTCTTTCCTATAATTTAATGTCTATATGAAAATAGCTGTTTCAGGAGAACTTTTTCTTCCTGTTTGTGCCTGAAAATTACCTACTTCTTTGCATGATCTACACATTTTTGTATAGAGTTACTTTTTTTGAAATTGATTGCTTCCTTAATTTTTTTGGAAGATTCGCACATTTATCATCAAGATGGAGAGGTGGAAAGCCGAAAACATTCTTTCCCAAAAATTCCCTTGATGTTTTAATACGACAATTGAACTTCGCCCCTTGTTTTCAATTCGAACCTAAACAATAACAGTGTAAAATCATGACTGAATTTCAAAGTCGTAATTTCCAAAAAAAATATGTGGCTTCTTTGCGTTTCCATACAAAAGTGTAGTTTAGTCCTAATTTTTGGCCCATTTCGAAACAATTTTTCGTTCCTCGATTTTCTCAATCTTGAACTGCTTTCAATAATTTTATATTTGCAATTTTTTGTATGTACATTACCTGATGTCACAGTCAGAAGTCAATCCTGAAAATATGCCAAAATTGAATATTGATACTGTTTTGAAACAAATTCCAGAATTCAAACGTGATAGGTCAGAATTCCATAAATTCACTTCTTGTTGCGATTTTGTACATACTGCGATCTCTCAACTGTTTCAGATGCTTCCACGCTAGTGAATATAAAAAAAATTTGAATTATCAGGCTTAGCTTATCAAGTTGTCAAACATAAGTCATACGATTCTTGGGTAGATTAAAAAAAATTACGAGAACAATTTCTTGAAATACTAAGTATCACCCAGTTTGGGTGAACCAGTCAGAAATTTTGGCAACATAATTTACTAAATGATCTTAATGATGCCTGCATCGCCTATGAAGGAGACGGTGCAGCGACAACCATTGAAAGCTTGAACACCTGCTGATATAAAGAAGATGCCTCCCAGTGACCTGTCCACCTTCCTGAAAAGGACAGGATGGGCGACGACCTAGGAGGACAACTCCTCGGGAGGATGTACAATGGGTCACATGTGGCATAAGTGCTGTGGGTCTACACTCACCCTCCCTACTCTATAGATACAGATACACCGATCAAGTTTCAGACTCACTTCATTCATCATCTGAAATTGAAAGTGGAGTATATGTTGGTAATTGTCTAACTGAACGTAATAATGGTTATTGTTATGTAAAATTCTGAAACACGAATTAATCAATCAATCAATCAATCAAATATACTTTATTGTCTGAAGAACTACATCTTGTAGACAAAGTCATAAATAATATGTAAAATACAAAAATCTACATAAAAAACATATACAATTTAAACAAAATACTATAAACATAAGCTAAAAATGTGAAATACACTGAGATATTCAGCTGGAAATAACAAGACATAGAAATGAAAGTTAAAATTCAAGTGAATCGTCAAGATACTCCTGAACTGAATAATATGCCTTATCAACAAGTAGCATTTTAAATGCTTTTTTGAATTTGTTAAGCACTATAAAAAATTAATTGCTCTCTTCCTCCCTTCAGAAGTTTCCCACATTTTTTGTATAAAGATGAAGGAGAAGAAAGCCAAAAAAAACGGTTTTCTTATGTTTTCAAATATTTAACAATGTTCCCAGTGTTTTAAATGGAAACTATTTCAACACTCTATTTGTAATGATTTAAATCCTGCTGTTAACTCATTTTGCTTTTTGGGTTGCACACTTGGGTTACTATTACTATGAAACCACTAACACCTTTCAATGATTTTATCTACATTTGCTCTTTTGAAATGTGTTTCAAAGTATTCAATCTCTAGACCAGTACTTGTCTGAGTATATTTATTGTGAAAAAAAATACTTCAAAATGAGAATAGTTATTTCGATCAGAGAAAAAGAAAACATATTTCATTTCTATATATAAACATTAATACCAAACAGCAGTTGTGGCTGAATCAACCAAAATGGAAGTTCCTCTAATCTATACTGGTTGAAACCAGTTGGACCCAAGACCCACTTCAATAGATATATTCCTCATTTGTTTCCCTTTGTGTTTCGATAGAACTGAACCTCGCTAACTTATGAAATACCGACAAACGAGTACAAATATGTCAAATCGATTGTACTACTATAATGTTTATGTTATTGGAGTATAGAGGGTAACTGTGTAATGACAATCTGATGAA